CCTACAAGCCAGGTGGAGAAAGACGTGCTGAAAAATCAGCAATAGATGTGTGCTTTGGAAGACATTAATCCTACAAAATGTCCCATGAAGAAAGGTTATCAAACTTTAGAAAATCATGTGGACTTCAGCCCCTTCTGGAAAATCCTCAGTGTATATCAGAGTATTCAACATTCTAAGAAGTCCTGCAATGCCACTCAGACTCATCTGACCATAGAACCTCTTAGTCAGACTAGAAAATATTTTCCTATCCTAAAAGAAAGAGAAAGAATAGTGATATCGCCCTTCCATGGTGCTTTATAGTTCCCAAAGCATTTCTCTTACATGATCTTTCTGTTCTATAAACATGTCTAGCTCTGTCCTGTCCTGGACCTTTGGAGCTACTTGTCACTCTGCCTGAGACTCCTTCTGCCCAAACTTCATGGCTTATCCCTTCATTTCATCCCAATTTAGATGTCCCTTCTTCATGATCTTTTCATACTATGTCCTATTTCCCTTTATATTTTTCACCTTATTTTAATGCCTGTACTACATATATCACTCTCTCAAATGGTGTCATTTGTTACATTTCTTTGACACGTGTCCTTCCCCCCTCAAACACTCAGGATGACAGGCACCTTATTTGTCCCTTCCTTCACTGCATCCTTGATGTTTGGAAGTATCAGGTATTCAATAAGTCCCATAGTCAAGATCTGCTGAATAGATAAATGAGTGGCTGAGATTTTTATCTTGTTGACAATACTGAAAGAGAGATAATTTTATTACTTCCACTTTACAATTGAATAAACTGAGGCTCAAGGTGTTATGTAAATTTCTAAGGTTGAATAATTAGTAAATGGAAGACCTGGGACTTGAACCCAAATTTCTCTGATCGATAAACCCTGTGCCTTTTCCTTGCTAGGAAATGAAGTGTTTTCATTAATTTTCCTATGAAGAACTCCAATGAGCACAGAACAGTGGAATAAGGCATTATTTTTATCTTATTTTCTCCACAGCCCAGAGAAGAAATTCATCTTTCTGTCTGGGTACTCATTAGATGGGAACCTCAGTGCCATCTGGGAATGTAGAATGAGGATGTCCAAACTACAAGGCATAGGTTAGAAGAACAGCTTGGGGAGCTGGTAGCATACAGAGTAGATCTATTTAAATTGGAACTAGGTGGCTCTTTCGCCCTGTGCTTACACAGTGTGAATAGATGCATTGTTTGGTATCAAAGTCCTTTAGTTGACTCCATAGCTATAACCCCTTCTAGGTCTCCACATGGTGTAATGTTGGAATGGTCAGGAGGAAGAAGAGAGGTGGAAAATCAGGATATCTCAACAAGTGTTACTTAATGTCAGTTGCCTATGTTTCATAAGGACATGGCGGATTATGCAAAGTCCACATCAGTGAGGGTCTGAGACTACATAAAATGTTTGCCAACTGTTGAGCATTTTTCAAAGTAAGTTTGTTTATAGTAGGTCTTGAAAACTTTTAGCTCTTCCATCTCCTCAACTTTGTTTTTTCATTATAATTTTGAATAGGGAGTAGGGTGTGGGGATGAACAACCAAATCCCAGTAAAATTCTCAGTGAGATATTCTGAAAATGGCACCAAGATATTATTGGAAAATTCTAAAGTTTACTTGGCTAAATTTCTCTGTGTCACTTAGATCAAAACAGTAACATTAAAATCATGAGGTTTCGAATGCAAATCTAACCATGTGTACATACTTTGAGCCAGGTGTGTTTGGGTAGACATAGTCAGAGAGGCAAACATCAGAGACAACTTGCCTGAGAAATCTTCAGTGTTAGGTATTAACCAAAAGCTTAAGAGCACTTTAAGCATACAAGGCACTGCCATGTTGTTTTTTGCTATTTAGAAACCATCTGTGTTGAAAGACATTTTTATTCTCAATGCAAAGCACACCAAGGAGAAACAGGTATTATCTCTTCCCTCAAGGACATTCGACTCCAGGAACATGGGATGAGGCTCACAGCAAGGACTGGAATCACATATCTGGATGGGAATTTAACTAAGTAACTTAATCTCGCTGATCCCTCATTTACTCATTTGCGAAATGAATAACACTTAGCTCATAGAGTTGTTGTGAGGAAGAAGTGACTCATGTATGTAAGCAATCAGTGAATAGTAACTAATATTACTGAGTGTCTCTGTAACTATAATGCAAGAGGGAAGATCATCCAAGTGTGAGTGTTTTATGTTGTTTCTGTTTACATCCTTCTTTTTGCATGCATTCTCATTCATGCTGGGCACCCTGGACCTGTTTTTTTAAAATATTTTATTTAACTTTATTCATCATCAATATTATTACTTTTTAATAATTTGACATGAGAGAGAGGGAAAGTGAGAAAGCAAGCTGCCAGGTCCAGGACTCGAACAATAATCGGCCATGTGCAAGTCCAACACCCCAACTACCACACCACTTGCTGGCCCTAGGACCTTTGTTTTTAATACATCAAGCATGAGGCAACAGCCTCATGAAGGCGGAACGTCTGTGAAGGGGCCCACTTGGGGACACAAAGGAAAGCTTCCTGTCCCTTCCTTCACTGCATCCTTGATGTTTGGAAGTATCAGGTATTCAATAAGTCCCATAGTCAAGATCTGCTGAATAGATAAATGAGTGGCTGAGATTTTTATCTTGTTGACAATACTGAAAGAGAGATAATTTTATTACTTCCACTTTACAATTGAATAAACTGAGGCTCAAGGTGTTATGTAAATTTCTAAGGTTGAATAATTAGTAAATGGAAGACCTGGGACTTGAACCCAAATTTCTCTGATCGATAAACCCTGTGCCTTTTCCTTGCTAGGAAATGAAGTGTTTTCATTAATTTTCCTATGAAGAACTCCAATGAGCACAGAACAGTGGAATAAGGCATTATTTTTATCTTATTTTCTCCACAGCCCAGAGAAGAAATTCATCTTTCTGTCTGGGTACTCATTAGATGGGAACCTCAGTGCCATCTGGGAATGTAGAATGAGGATGTCCAAACTACAAGGCATAGGTTAGAAGAACAGCTTGGGGAGCTGGTAGCATACAGAGTAGATCTATTTAAATTGGAACTAGGTGGCTCTTTCGCCCTGTGCTTACACAGTGTGAATAGATGCATTGTTTGGTATCAAAGTCCTTTAGTTGACTCCATAGCTATAACCCCTTCTAGGTCTCCACATGGTGTAATGTTGGAATGGTCAGGAGGAAGAAGAGAGGTGGAAAATCAGGATATCTCAACAAGTGTTACTTAATGTCAGTTGCCTATGTTTCATAAGGACATGGCGGATTATGCAAAGTCCACATCAGTGAGGGTCTGAGACTACATAAAATGTTTGCCAACTGTTGAGCATTTTTCAAAGTAAGTTTGTTTATAGTAGGTCTTGAAAACTTTTAGCTCTTCCATCTCCTCAACTTTGTTTTTTCATTATAATTTTGAATAGGGAGTAGGGTGTGGGGATGAACAACCAAATCCCAGTAAAATTCTCAGTGAGATATTCTGAAAATGGCACCAAGATATTATTGGAAAATTCTAAAGTTTACTTGGCTAAATTTCTCTGTGTCACTTAGATCAAAACAGTAACATTAAAATCATGAGGTTTCGAATGCAAATCTAACCATGTGTACATACTTTGAGCCAGGTGTGTTTGGGTAGACATAGTCAGAGAGGCAAACATCAGAGACAACTTGCCTGAGAAATCTTCAGTGTTAGGTATTAACCAAAAGCTTAAGAGCACTTTAAGCATACAAGGCACTGCCATGTTGTTTTTTGCTATTTAGAAACCATCTGTGTTGAAAGACATTTTTATTCTCAATGCAAAGCACACCAAGGAGAAACAGGTATTATCTCTTCCCTCAAGGACATTCGACTCCAGGAACATGGGATGAGGCTCACAGCAAGGACTGGAATCACATATCTGGATGGGAATTTAACTAAGTAACTTAATCTCGCTGATCTCTCATTTACTCATTTGCGAAATGAATAACACTTAGCTCATAGAGTTGTTGTGAGGAAGAAGTGACTCATGTATGTAAGCAATCAGTGAATAGTAACTAATATTACTGAGTGTCTCTGTAACTATAATGCAAGAGGGAAGATCATCCAAGTGTGAGTGTTTTATGTTGTTTCTGTTTACATCCTTCTTTTTGCATGCATTCTCATTCATGCTGGGCACCCTGGACCTGTTTTTTTAAAATATTTTATTTAACTTTATTCATCATCAATATTATTACTTTTTAATAATTTGACATGAGAGAGAGGGAAAGTGAGAAAGCAAGCTGCCAGGTCCAGGACTCGAACAATAATCGGCCATGTGCAAGTCCAACACCCCAACTACCACACCACTTGCTGGCCCTAGGACCTTTGTTTTTAATACATCAAGCATGAGGCAACAGCCTCATGAAGGCGGAACGTCTGTGAAGGGGCCCACTTGGGGACACAAAGGAAAGCTTCCTGTAGAAATTCACATGTAGCTCAGACTTAAAGAATGAGAATATGTAAGTCACAGTTTATAAAATACTGCTATATTCATCTCCTCAATTGAGTCTCCTGGCTCCATGAGGTTGGCCAAACTTGAGAGCATATCAAAGCTCAGGTGGGTAATATGTCTTGCCCAAAGTCACACAGTTTCTAGATAATAGAGCATAGATGTGTTTATAATGCTAGCTACCACTTCTTGAGTGCTTAGTATGTGGAGGAGTTCTGATATGTGATTTTCCTTAATTAACTGATTTTATTCTCCATGAAGACTCTTAGAGGATCTACAAGCAATGCCTTCATGGGGGTAAAGTTTGAATTCTGATTTCTCTGTCTCAGTAACTGGTGTCCCAGTGATAACTTTTAACCACTGCTTCAAGTGTCCTCTTTGTCCCAACCAGCACCCTTTTCTCTCCTCAATCTCAGGCTCCTCATGAAATTTTGGAGAGGGTGGCTCTTGGTCTTTATTTTCCCATGGGAGTTCAATTGTCCTGTGAGAAAACTCCCTCTTACCCTCTTGTTCTTCCCTCTCCAGCTGTGTGCACTTTGCATGTGAGGCCATGGACTGCCCAGAGCTGGCTGTGGAGAACGCTTCTCTCAATTGCTCCAGCAGCGACCGCTACCATGGCGCTCAGTGTACTGTGAGCTGCCAGACAGGTTATGTTCTCCAGATACAGCGGGATGATGAGCTCATCAAGAGCCAGGTGTGTACAAGTCCTGAACTAAGTACTGCAGAGGGCACTTAGCAAGTGCTCTAGCAGCTTAGGAAGGGCTGACCCTATGTTGCATATATCCTCTTCTGAATCCTTGGCATTTAAAACAGTGCTACCACACAGTAAGTGCTCAGTGATGAACAAATCAGTTACTCAATCAAGCAGTCAACCTTGACTCTCTGAAAGAAGGGCTTCTGTGCGGACTGATGTTCTACACAACATGCACCAGTTTCCTTGTTCAGGCTGCAAATCTGTATTAACATGAGCTGAACGTTTAGGAATGAAACTGTTAGTCAAAAGTGTACCACAACTGAATGGGCTACTTTAGGATGAGGTGAGCCCTGTGTTCTGAAGTGTTCATTCGTGTACTCATTCATTGCAAATCATCAGTTTATTATAAATCAGACCCTGTGCAAGGTGCTAGAAAAAAAGAGAAGTCACTAGGACAGATTTAGTTCCTCCTCAGAAGGACCTTAATGAATAGTGGGGTGTAGGGGTACATAATAAATGACTAATAACCTTCTAATGTGGTAAACATTGTAAAAGGAAGAGTAGAGTACTGTAAAGCATAGGAAAGTACCTGGAAAAAGTGACATAAACCCTGAGAACTGGATATATAGGCAAAGGGCTGTGTTAGGGAGAAGAAAGAAACATGGACTCTGGGCACAAGAAGAATAGGAGGTGGGAGGTAAAAAATTAACTTGTCAAAGGTGGAGAGATTTTCTTTCTCTAAACTCACCCAAGCTATGAGGCTAGAAGGTCAATCTGGGTCCACAGGTTCAGAGCCCTGCCAGCTTAGTCAGGAGGTTTGGGCTTGTGTTTAGGGCAACAAGGAGCTGTTGATGGAAGTGATATGGTCAGATCACGATTGACAAAGGATCTTCTGGCTGGTCATATGGGTGTGCTTTGGAGTCCAACAGGAGGACTGGCAGCAGGAAGATCCCTCAAAAGAGAATTTGAAGACAATAGTGAGTGGTTTTGGATGGTGTGGCAGACTACTTCTCCAGCTGGATCACACTGTGGGGTCTCAGGTGGGACCTGGAAGAGTGAGGCACGTTGCCATCTAAGGGCCCTTCCAGCCGTGGGATTGGAAGAGTCCAGAGTTCTGCCATTAGATGCAGCTTTCTCCAGGGTCTGGCCAGTAGACTGGCTTTGTACAACAAGCACACAGAGCACATTCCTTGTTGTTGGGCTTGCCTGTTTGTACAGAGCTTCTGTGCTTGCTCACCTTAGACACTTTTGTGTGTCAGCCATGACAGGTCTGAACTCCTATGGAAACAATTAGGATGTTTTGGCAGAGGGAAATCTGTTCCCTTTGATGTGTGTTTAAATGGAGGAAAGTGTCCTTTGCTTTTAAAATCCCAAATCAACTTTTGGCATTCCTAATCCCCTAGGATTTGGTGGTTTCCTCCTTGAGTGGAAGGCTCCTGCCTGCCAATGACTGTCCTCTCTTTGACTGTATAGTCTGGCCTTACCCTTCCACCTTTGAAGCCCTTCCATCTTCTAGTTCAGAAGACATCATCTCTGTCAGCCCTCTCGTTATCCCCTGCTTTATTCCTTCTCCATGTCTTTCTCTTTTAACTATTGAATCATCCGGTCTCAGAGTAGAGAGTGGTGCTCAGAGCAATCCTTGGATTCAATCCATTCATTTTGCCACTGGGATAACTCAAATAAGAAAAGAGATTTGCCTATGGTCTCATGACAGGGAAGACAAACATCCAGGTCTCCTCTATCCTAGGTAATGTCTATTGTGTGCCAAACACCACACTTGGCCCATGGTAGCCTTCTGCAGAACCAAGAAAAAAATACAAAAGTTAATATCAGTTGTCCTACCTTGGCACCATGTTTCAGAGTCTGTTTGGTGAAAGAAGTCATCATGCTCATGAAATCTCTGGATCTCAAAACTCTCCTCAATAAAATGGCAGTTATGTTCTGGGAGACTGTAAACATAGCAGATAAAAGCATCACCTTTCAGTTCAAATCCTGCTTATCTTCTTTCCAGCTGGGTAACTTGGGGCTGATCATGTAGAGTCTCTGAGCCTCAGTTTCTGCATCTTTAAATAGGAAATGAAATGGAAAATGAAATGTTTCCTTTTTACAGCTGTTGGGATTATTGCAAGTGAGCTAAGATTGAACACTGAGCATGGGTCTTTTAGTGCCCAGACAAGACCCTTAACTGTTGCTTGGAGAGGATATTTCTCCACATCTGGGGCCTGGTCTGTTGGCCCTCACTGTATCTGTCTCTGCCTTTCAGACGGGACCCAGTATCACAGTGACCTGCACAGAGGGAAAGTGGAACAAGCAGGTGACATGTGAGCCAGTGGACTGTGGAGTCCCAGATCACCATCATGTCCACGCCGCCTCCTTCTCCTGCCTCGAGGGCACCACCTTTGGCAGCAAATGTTCCTTCCAGTGTCGTCACCCTGCACAACTTAAAGGTAACCTGGACCCTTTGCCTCAACTTGGACCCCCTTTGTGGGATACCTAGAGGCTGCTTCTGGGCCCTCTTCAGTCTCAAACACCAAGAATTGGGTGAAGTTTATTTCTCCTCCTGATTTCTTGACCACCATGCCACCTGTTGACCTCTTCTCCTCCTGATTTCTTATTATCATTTGCATTTATGTAAACTGCCTTGCTGTGAAGCTAAGAAAATTGTTGAACAAGTAAGACAGTGAAACCCCCTTCAAGAACTTTGAAATCTTACAAAAAGTGAAAAGGAAGTGGGAGGGAGGGTGAGACAGAAAGAAAAGAGTTATAGTTGAAACTGATGCAACTATTGATTGTTCACTCTGTATGATTAGGGCCCAGAGGGTCTTAAAAAGTAAGATTATTATTATTATTTCACAAAGGAAGAAACCAAACCTCAGAGACTTAAAAGAACTTGCCTAAAGCTGCATTATTAGCAATGGGGACCACATTGGAGCCCAGGTCTGTCTCAACACCAATCAATTACTACTTCTTAAGGTTTGGCTAAGGAGAGAGGAGCAGGTGTGGGCCAGCAGGATCTTACATCCTCTTGGGCTGGGCGCTAGCAGTATTGAGGTAAATAAGAGATAGTTTGGTATACTAAAGAAGATGCCAAATTTTGGAAATGAATGAGAGGCTGGCCTGAGTATTTAGAAGTCAAGACTGGGATGGTTCTTAGGACTCATCGGGAATAACTGGATTATGGGATATATTGAGAAACTGAAGTCCAGCAAGACAAGTAAAGGAATTTTATAAAATCACAGAGCAATTAGCAACAATTTCAGGATAAACACTCCTGGGTTTAAATGAGTATTGGATTGTGACATTATATTTGATTTTCGGAGATGCCAGGACCCTCTTCTTCCTTTGGTTTATCAGAGGAAACATTGCTCTTTTATCAAATAATATCTCATTTGAGCCCAGGGTTCTGCCTTTGAATACATTATTCCATAGGGTATGCATGAATGGGTTATAGTGGTGTCTGGAGCTGGGGAAGAAGGTCTGTGGATTTCCTTAAACTTGGATGTGACATTGTGCATACCTGAGTTTCAGGCTTTTTTTTTTTTTTTTTTTTTTGAGAGGTTTTCACTATAGGGCGTGTGCGCTCACCAGACAGATGGAGAGAGACATAGAAACAGAAAGCGAGAAATCACCTCCCAGGGGTGATGGTCACGCCACAATCCCTTCTCCTCCATTCTCCTCTCAGGATCTTGGGCACGTGCACTCACGCGCGCAGCGTGAGTTTTAACCCACCGGGTCCGGGACGCGAACCGCAGTCGACTACCTGGGAGTCCAGCAACATAGCCATTACGCTAACTGCTGGTTCCCAGTTTCAGGCATTTTGATGATTGGAGTGGTTCAGTAGTTTACATAGTTATCAAGGGGATATATGACTCTAAAAGATTAGAACATCCATATGGACTTCAGCCCCTCAAGATCCTTTCCGTACTGTGGGCAGTGAGCCTAGGACCTAGCACTAGTGAGACTCAATAGAAGGTCTGACTAACTGCAAGGCTGGATGAATTGATAAAAAGGAAGTAACACCATAAGCAGCATTTCTTTTAAGAAATGAGGGAAATACCCCAAAATCTCACTGAACTACTCCAAAAGAAAGACAAGAAGCATTTCTGGGACGTTCTGCTCATTTTTGACCCAAGAAGATTTAAATAGAAAAGTCATAGATATTTCATCTGAGCTACTGTGAAGATTTAGATCAAAGAGAGAAGAGACCAGTGGAAATGATAAACCTTCCAACTTTCAGGTCATCTAAACCCATCTCGTGGCCCCATTTGCCCAGATATGGATGTATTAATAACTCTAGAGGAGGAAATCATACTTCTCTTAATCAGAGGCCCTTGGGATAGGGAGCTGTATAAATTAGCATTGATTATTAAACCCTCACAGTGGCTGATAATAATCGTTAATCGAAGTGATACAGACCCTTACACCATTGCTTCTCTGCTGCTATGGTTTTGGGGGAAGGAGGTGGTGAACCTGCTGTGGAGATGAGGTCTTAGGAGGGTCATTATTTGGGTAGTTGTTGATCTCAGTTTTGCTCTTCCCTTGAAAATACAGGGACATATCTTTATAGTTGCGATATTGACTCACTAGTACCAATTGCCATTTCTTGCACTTTGGGTGTCAGGATCATCCAGTGCTCAAATTCTTGTCCTGAGGCTCCTGTTTAGGTTTGCTGGAAGCAAGGATTGGGTGAAGGTCTTGTTACCTCTCTCTTGAGCTTGTCAATGCCATCCCATTTGCCTTCCCTCTCAAGCTAAGGGGTAAAGAGATGATCTAAACAATGTTTTCCTCCTTCTTGGTTTGCTTCTCTTTCCTCTCTTCCACCCTTTGTTTTTCCTTCCTTTTTAATTTTTTTTTTTTAAAGATTTTTTCATAGGGTGCATGCGCTTCCTGGAGAGACAGAGAGAGGAAAAGTGAGAAATCACCTCCCGGGGGTATGGCCATGCTATAGTCCCTTCTTCTCCATTTTCCACTCAGGATTTTGAACACAAATGCACATGCACCCAAAATGAATTTCAAGTTGCCACATTGGCCATGTGGGATTTTAGCACCTTAACCACCATGCCACCTGCTGGTCCCCGTTTTTCCTTTCTTTCCAGCATGGTTTTTTTTTTTTTTTTTTTTTTTTAGAGGTTTTTTTCTTTTGTGTGTGCGGCTAGAAATCACCCTCCAGGGGGGATGGTCACGCCACAATCCCTTCTCCTCCATTCTCCTCTTGGGATCTTGGGCACACACGCATACGCACCCGGTGTGAGTTCTGAGCCACCGGATCTGGGATGCGAACTGCGGTCAACTACGTGGGAGTCCAATGACATAGCCATTATGCTAACTGCTGGTTTCCCCAGCACGGTTTTAGCAAAAGTGCAATAACTTTAGAATCAGAAAGACCTGCCTCTGCCCTTAACCAACCAAGACCTTAGATGAGTAATTCCACACCTATAAACATCAATATTCTCATTTACTAAAATAGGCTCTTGTGGACCCAGGTTAAAGAGTTAGGATGAGAATTAAAAACGATGGTGTGTATAAAATGCCAGAGCTAAAGAAAATGCTTTAGTGAATTCTCATTTTCTTCTCATAAAGATCTGGACAGTAGCTTCTCTCTCAGCCCCTGTCCTCTGTCCTGTGGAGTCCTTGGTGCTAGGAACTGTGGAAACATGGCCCATCCTCTATGTTCCTCCCAGGCCATGAGGCTGGAGTCTGCAGAAGAGCAATTACCCCTTAGGACAATCAGTTTAGTCCCCAGGAATCTAGCGTAACACAAGTAGCACCACAAATACATTTACCCCTTACATTCAGCTAAAGTGATTTTGAGTATCTGAACTTTCATATTACTTTCAACCCCTCTTCAAGATTCATGCAAAATATCCTGAAAACTTACAACTTTAAAGTTCCTTCTGCCAGGATTCTTGTCAAATGAGGACTGTAGGCACAGGCAGAGCCTACAAAAATACATAAGGAGAAGCAGCCTTTCAAATTCAAAGAAGAAAACCTCAGAATTCGAAATCATAAATGTTTAATTAAATGACTTAAAAATACAACATTCCTTACATCACCTAGTCAATCCTAATTCAACTCAACTATGTTGGGTGAATTTAATATTTACTGTGGAATGAAGCTTCTAGAATAAGCATGCCCCATCCTACAAAGGTCTTTGAACAGGCCTGCTTTCTGTGTCTAGCTCTTGTCATTGCCTTTTCCATTTCAGCTTTGCCTCTTTTGCCTCAAATTTCAAACTCAGGCTACACACAAGTTTCCATACCCATCATCATTGAACATCTTCCAGTTTCTCAAGCTTTCCTGAAGCAGGAGACAAGAGTGGTGGGCATGGATATTGCCCTTATCCTATGGTTACCAGCATTTGACCTTGTCCTGGAGAAATAGTCCAGCTTACTTCCATTTGCGTTCTGCAGTCCCTTCTTGTCCAGCAAGTATCAACATTCCAGAGTCTTTTCCTTCCTCTTCTTAGGTTCTCTATCAACTAGCCTTTAAAATGCAACTGGATAAAGAAAATTTGGAAGCAAGAGACACCATACTGGATAATGGGAAATGGAAAGGAATGGTGAAATCTTACTGTGTGGCTAGTCCTTGATTTCTGGATAGGAATCAATTCCTCTACTAGTCTAAACTCCTAGGTGCATAAGATTGCCTCTGAATGGTAGTTCTTTCTTGGCCATATTCATGTTCCATAGTGGGAATGGAGAGATTAATTAGGAATCAGACAGATCTGAACTGAGCTCCAACTCTGGTTTGAACCACAATTAATTTGACCCTCACAGAGTCTCAGCTTTCTCACCTACAAAATGGGGTTAATGATGAATTGGGTTACCAGGGGAATAAAGGAGATGGTTCCAATAATTTTTCATGAGCTTAATTATAGAGAGCTATTCATGGAATTATTTTCAGACATTTAGAAGAAAAATTGGGTACAAACTATAACCTGACTCACCTAGGTTGAAGTTATGAGAGCCCAATTTTACTGAACAATTGACATACTTTTAGAGATGCCAAGCTCTGATCCAATGTGTTCTTTAATTCCTTGGGATTCCAAAAGCCTAGAATTGTGCTTTTAGAACAAAAATTAGTAGCTGATCACATACTACTCTCCTGCCTGAACTTCTTCCTTATTTTCTCTGGCCCCAGTGCTAGGTGAGATTCTGGTGTACTGCTTTTGGGAAAACAACCAACCTGAAATCCTTCCTGCTCATTAACTGCCCTACCTGGCCCTCTCTTCTAATTGTACCCCTTGTCTTTCTTAATCTATTTCCTTTGTTGTTGTTGTTGTTTAATCTCCTTCTTTTGTCACTTCTAGTAGGATATATCCCTTACCGAGAGCAATGAAAGTGGATGCATTTGCAATCCCAGTAGTAGTATCCTTGGGCAAATTTAGCCTCTTGAGTGCTTGCTTTTTCAGATTCCAGTCCAACTAGATGCATTTTTGTTTTCTCTAAACAGTACAGTAGTCCATATTCTTTCACATTCTAAAATGGTACAGCTGAACAAGAAACTCTCTCTTGGGCAAGTTGGCTTTGACTTAGAGCCAGACAGATTAGGTGATTTTCAAGGTCACAAGCAGATTTATAATACTTTGCATCCAGCAAATGGATATCAAGAGCCTACTATGTGCTTGGCAGAAGGTTAGGCTCTGGGCATAAAGAATGGACAGGATATAGCTCCTCATAAGATCCAGGGAGTGCCAACATGTGTCAAATGCTGAGAAAACCAGACTAGAAGTCTAGCATTTCCTTCTTTGGGTTCCACTGTATGTTAATTTTAATCTTGAAGACATTCCTGAAGAGACTGGTCTTCTGGGTAATCTTTTAAATGAAATAATAAAAATAATCTTTTCTTTTGACACTGGTATTAAGTTCATAATTATATTAATACTCATTAAAGATTGATATTTTCTTTTTTCTTTTTTTTTGGAGAGGTTTTTGCTATAGGGCATGTGCACCTGCCAGACAGACAGACAGAGGCAGAGAGACAGAAAGGAAGAAATCACCCCCCAAGGGGGATGGTCACACCGCAATCCCTTCTCCTCCATTCTCCTCTTGGGATCTTGGGCATGCACGCACATGTGCCCAGCGTGAGTTTTAGGCCACCGGGTCCGGGACATGAACCACGGTCGACTACATGCGAGTCCAGCAACATAGCCATTACGCCAACTGCTGGTTCCCAAAGACTGACATTTTCTTAACCATGATTATAAACAGGCTGAGCAAGATTTATTCTCTCAACCTTAAAACATAAACAAATAAAGACATAGGGTCCAAATTTGTTGGATTCATAGCTCTCATATCAACACTCCCTGTAGCAGAAATTGCAGATCCAGATATGCCCTCCCTTTGTGTCCTGAGTCAGGTTTCCCCAGGAAGCACAGGTAGGAGGATAATTCTGAAAGATGGGGATTTGACAGAAGTCAGCAAGTTCAGTTTTTTAAAATTATTTTAATTTATATATTTTTAATTTTTTCATTTATTTATTGTAGAGAGCATGTACTCTTACCCCAAAGGAAGAGGTGGAGAGAGAAAGGGGCTCCTAGTAGGGCATGTTTATGCCATAATCCTTTGCCTACATTTCTGTAACCCATGAAGACTCAGCATACACACACACACACACACACACACACACAGAAAGTTTTTCAAGCTATCAGGGGCAGAATTCAAACCATGATCAGCCATGTGGGATCTGACTCCCTACATATAATACTTAAGCACTGAGCTCTAAGGACCTGCCCAATAAGGGCACCTTTTAGAGCAGGTTACTACCATGGGCGGCTAGAGCTCAGTCCCTCTGGGAAGCTCCAGAGAGAGTATAGAACATGCCTCAGAGTTATAGCAACTCTAGAAGCTGGCAGGTAAATCCACCATCTCCATAACTGCTTGGGTGTTGCTTCCAGTGGCATTACTTCCTCAGTACTTTGAGCTTTCCCTGAGTGTGAGCAGAGTGTGCATTCAGGACCAGAAGAAAAGGCCTAAGGCAGAGTTGCTGATGCAGTGCGCGTCCTGCAGAGTAGAGAGACCAGTGCCAAGGGGATGAGCAAAGGGCAGAGACAGCATCTGCCATATACTACTTTGCTCTAAGCCACATGGTGGGTGCAGGGTGGTGGCTGCAGCAGGGCTGTGGGAATAATGATTATACACAGGTCTATGCCTGCATGTCCTGGAGTTTGTTTGTTGTGAGGGTAGGGGACATATCCATGGTCCTGAATCACCAGTTCCTGCTTTAGCATGATTCTACTTTTGACAGGACTGCTGTGCTAAGTCCTATTTACTTTCTCCCAGAATGTACATTTCAGCTTTGCATTAATATCAATTAATATTTTGCAATTTTTGTCATCTTACCAAAAAAAGACTTTCACTTTACACTTTAAAAATCGCATAGCTGAGAAGATGCATTTTTTGAGTCCTGACGCCTTTCTACAGATATTGTATCCTTCTATTGTACTCTTTTTTTTGAGAAGGGTCTCACTCTGTTGCTATCCTCCTGCCTTGGCCTCCAGAGTAGCTGGGACTATAGGTGTGCACCACCATACCTGGTTCTTTTTTCAGAGAAGGTCTCACTCTGTTGCTATCCTCCTGCCTTGGCCTCCAGAGTAGCTGGGACTATAGGTGTGCACCACCATACCTGGTTCTTTTTTCAGAGAAGGTCTCACTCTGTTGCCCAGGTCAACCTCACTCTTGCAATCCTTCTGCCTCACCCTCCCAAATTGCTGGGTTGACAGATGCAGGCCACTGTGCCCAGCTTTTAGATTGAACTGAGAATGAAGCCCGTCTGTTCTATATGGTCCCCACCTGTGGAACACAGGGTCTCAGTAGTGTGCACCACCTAGCAGAGCCTCTCTGTCTCTTTTACATCCCCCTGCCTTCTTACCAAGCTTATGCTATTCTTATGCACCCCAAAGCACTAACTGCCCCAATCACAAGGGCAATGAAACAAGATTATAATTTCTGGTATCCTGGAAGCCTTCCTGCTTCCAGAGAAGCCTAACGAATCACCCTTCTGTATATTTTACTCTTCTTGCTTGCTGTGAACATATCTATAGTTTGCAACATCACAGCTGATCACTGTGGAGTCCTCTGTGGGGTTGACAGACATTAAAATATCTTGCACTAACTAACCAGATGAATCACACTGACAAAGGAGTAAAAGAAGAAAATGAACAGCATAGAAGCAGAGATGCCTACGTACAATCGCTGAATCTTCTCTCCATTTTCTTCCTTTTTCCACTTTATCTGTCTCCACAGTACATGCAACTTTCTAGCACACTAAATAGTTTGCTCTTTTGTATCATTTACTGTGTTCTCCCTATCTTATTAGCATATAAGCACCAAGAGGGCAGGGGTACTTTTGTTTTTTCCACTGCTGTGCCACCAATATATAAAATATCTGGCAGATAGTGAGTACTAAATAAATGTGTACTGTGCAACCCACATGGTCCTTTTACATGCTAATGAAGGTAAAGGTTAAGAGGAAGGGAGGGGAAGAGGTAAGTGAGGAGGCTGGAAGGGAAGAAGAAGCAAAGACACTGACAGCATTTTCATGGGTGCTTTTCAGAAATGTGGTTTCACTGAATCTTCTCAACACCCTGAAAGGCAGGAATGATTGTTTCCTTTCTACAGATAAGAAAATTGAGGTTTGACTCTCCTAGAATAGATATTAAGGGCCTGGACAGTATGCTTCCCTTTAAAAGCAACCATCTCAGGGCCAGCAGATGGCATAGCAGTTACGTCGCTGGACTCCCACATGGCTGACCATTGTTGAAGTCTTGGACCCAATGGCTTGAAACTCATACCAGGCACATATTCATGCATGCTCAAATCCCAGGAGGATACTGGAGGAGAAAGGATTGCAGTGTGACCACCCCCCTCCCCTGCAGTGGGTGATTTCTTGCTTTCCCTCTCACTGTCTCTCTCTCAATCTCTCTGGAGACTGTATGTACCCTAAGGCAAAAACCTCTTAAAAATTAAAAAAAAAAAAAGAAACAACCATCTCTGTGGTTAGAGAAAATTAGCTGTGGACGTCAATTTTACCTTTTGCTAACTTGGTTATTCATTCTTTGAGTCTCCATTTCTAAATGAGAATTATCCTCCTAAGTGCACTGTTTGTTGTGAGAATAAGTGAGATTGCATATCAGAAGCACACAGTATGTAATAACTGCTCAATAAATGTCAGTTTCCTCTCTATCACTCCATCCCACCATCCTTGAGATCCCACATGCTTCCAGCCTTGGTTGTCAACACCATTCAGTAATAACTGAATGGAAGAGGAGAGTTTTCTGGGGAACACAAGTTTCAGGTCCTCCTCTAATTGTCTAGGGAGGTTCTGAGTAGGCTATGCCTCCATAATATACAAACTGGCAGTGAACAGTCTAACTCCTGTGTTTTACTTTTATTGCATCGTTCTCCATCAGGCCAGCTTCTGTCAGAGCTGGCACAGACCACTGGGGAAGTGCTGCTCTCTCAGCTGCTTTGGCAAAGCTTCACTGAACACTGGGGCTCGAACAGAAAATCAGACCTCCTGATAACGTGATGCTGTCACTTCCAGGCATCAGGGAGCCAGGACAGATACAAGGGCACAGGGCCCAGGGAGGAGTGGTAGCTTGAGGTCACACAGCACAATGATATCATAGCTTGGAATAGACTCCAATAGGACTGTACATTGTCAAATATTAGAAAGCAAGCACCTCGATCTGTGGCCTCAGATGTTCACCTGGAAAGTAAGAATGATGGATTATGAAGGTCTCTTTTCTATGCAGTATCCGAAGTTTAAAATCAAAAGTCAGAAGCCTTGATTTTTAATTCACTCCCCAATTTGGGTCTCCTCTTCTCCGGCAGCTCTATTGATCTCCCTGTCTCTTGGTTATAGCTGGAAGGGACTGGAATTCCACATCAGGGGGTCCAGAAGTCCACTAAAATCCAAGCAGCCTATGCAGTAGCTTGGCTGTAAGACACTACCCCCTCTGCTAACTCTACCTTCCATATCCTCCAGGTAACAACAGCCTTCTTACCTGCATGGAGGATGGACTGTGGTCCTTTCCTGAGGCCCTGTGTGAGCTCATGTGCCTAGCGCCACTGCCTGTACCAAACGCAGACCTCCAGACAGCCCGGTGCCGAGAGAACAAGCACAAGGTGGGCTCCTTCTGCAAGTACAAATGCAAACCTGGATACCACGTACCTGGCTCCTCTCGGAAGTCAAAGAAGTAAGTGAGGCTGAAAATAAAAACGTGGGCTCTGGAAAAAAAGAAACACACCCAGTTACCTGATGGGAAGCAAGTACCTCATGTTTTACTGGAGGCAATACCAGCTGTTGATCCCATTCTGTTTTGTGGGAAGCTAAAGAACATTGTAAGAACATTCTTTTGGGTCAGCACTAAGTGTGATTCCAGCTTGGCTGCCTACCAGCTATATGATCTCGGGCGAGTGTCTTCATTTCCCTGGGCTTTCGTTTTTCAGTACAATGGGATGATGACAGTTACCATATAGGGTTATTGTGAAGAATCAGTTAGGATGTATTTGTAAAGTGCTTGCAAAGTGCCTTGTAGGTGGTAGTTGTTGGATAGATGGTGGATAGTAGTAGCCTAATGGAATCAGAACTTATCAGAGCACTTTGGAAAGAAAGGAGAGGACAAGGGGCCGATGAGCTTTGCGTTTTATCTCAATCTACATGTCATAGACAAAAAACTATGATGTTCCTGTCTGCCCTTGCTGAAAGAATTGTGTGAATGAACTTATCTTAATTCCTCAACATGCCCCCACCACCCAACAGGACAGGTAGGAAAAGTAGGAAATCAAGAAAGCAAAGGAAATTGAGACCAAGCGTTAGTGTTCCAGGTGAATGTGGGTCTAGCCATTTGGTCCTTGAGATGTCTCTTTTCTCATCTCTTTCTTGAAGGCGGGCCTTCAAGACACAGTGTACCCAAGATGGCAGCTGGCAAGAGGCAGCTTGTGTCCCCGTGACTTGTGACCCACCTCCACCAAAATTCCATGGGCTTTACCAGTGCACGAATGGCTTCCAATTCAACAGCGAGTGTAGGATCAAGTGTGAAGACAGTGACTCCTCCCAGGTGAGCTTATTGGAGCTTGAGATCAATACTTCAGTCTCGTTCCTCTCATTCCTCTCTGCTTACTAAAGATTAGCCTGTATTTTAAGAATATTTCTTAAAATTTCTCTGGGAGACTGTCTGCATAGGCCTGGCTTGTATAATGGCAGTACCACTAATGGCAAAGTTAAGAAACTGGGCTCTAATCCTTCTTTTGTAATCTCTCTGAGTCTCATTTTCCTCCCTACAAAACCATATTTTATTAAGAAATTCTTAGCTTTTATTTTGTTTTATTTTTTAGCATTGGAACCCCTACAAAGAAAATCATATATTTAATCCCAATGTATGAAACTGATCAAAGTTAAGTTACTCTGATAGAAATGACCAGGGATGGTTGCCAGTTTTCTGCCACCCTACCCCCCACATTGGTTCTTGAAGTATTTGAAATCGTAAGACTATCACTATCTTTAGACATGAATTGGCTCCTGAAATATAAAGAGGAAAGGGTACATATATAGGTTAGAAGTAGCTTTTGAGGACACTGCAAGAAAAGAAGGACGGAAGGAGCTGGCAGAGTTTGAATTTTATCTCATCCCACATACAACTGAAAGTCTAACGCTTCTGCCTGCCTCTCCTGAAGTTCTAGGAGTGCCTTTTCCTTAATCCCTACACATGCCTCTTACACCGAATTGACAAAATATGGAAGTCCCATGTTTCACAGGTGTGCGAAGATCATCAGCCAGGTGAGGCTAGAGTCAGTCCACAAGCCCCCCATCCCCAGGCTTCATCTTCAGTATTTATTAGTCTTTATTATATAATATTAATTCCAGATGCTGCCAAACCACCATCCTCAACTCCTCTCCTTTCCTTTCCCCACATCCAAGCAGATACGAGTCCTATCCATTCTCCTAAAACATCTCTCGAAGCTGTGCTTTTCTGTCCCCAATGCTACCGCCCTAACTAAGGCACCATGCAGCTCCTCGATCATCTCCCTGCTTTTAATCTCTTGCCTCTTTTCAGCCATCATAACTTGACTGAAGTATACATGACAATTCTCCTGCTGCA